AAAAACAGAGAGTCAGAAGATACGCACAATAAAATTTGTTCAGACACCCGCTGTATTAAATTTCAGTGAAAATGAAAACAGAATGCAAAAGAAAAGCTTTTTTTAACGAATACATACATATGCACATATGTATTTATGTAAATACATTCAGATAGGACACAATCAATTCTGGACCATCGAAGCCCAAATACTCTACATACATATGCAAGAGGCTGTACCCACACATACATAATTTATAGAAACTTGTGTATGTACACGCTTTACATTTTTTTTGGTTTTCGAAAACTGTATTTTATATACATACATATGTTGTATGTACGTACATTAATGCTTATTACAAAAATATGTACCCATACAACAAAAATATGTGGCAAATTTAATTTAAACAGTTTTTGATGTTACTTGAATTTTTGACTATCGATTATCATCTATCTTTAAATGTTTGTAATATATGTATTTAGCTGCATAGAATGTTAGCTATGTATATAACTTCATACGTATGTATGCTATCATACATACATATGTATATCCATACATACGTACATACCTGCCAACTTCGAGACAAAGTTGAAATGCCTCTTCTTCGGCAAGCGCACACATCAAAAACAAATGAAAAAGCACAACAAAGAAACCAAAATTGTAAAAACAATTTTAGCAGAGGCGAGCGAGTGGGATAGAGAGAGGGAGTGCGACAGAGAAAGCGCCCCAAAGTTGTTGACAAGCGTTTGAAGCGACTCTAACGGCGCACAGTGGTGCGAGTGTGCAATTTTTGTGGGAATTGACACGCTGATTAAACAACTTTTCTGATAACCGCTACAAAAGCTATGTAAATCAAACCCACATATCACATAGCTATTTGCAATTACCAAACAGTTTTGTTTAATGTTATGTAAGAGATTATTTACATCGTTTTAATAACGTTTTTATTTGTATTCATTTATTTATTAACCATTGCTGGTAGCTTTCAGGTTATCTTTACTTACAAAATATTATCTTAAATAACTAACTAACTAAACAGAAAATACGAAACTTAAAGAAAATGCAAAATTAATTAGTTTGAAAGAAAGAATTCTTTAAGCTTATTTCATGCACATCTGCATACTGCTAAGCCCACTGTACGCAGTGCTAAATATGTTTATTTGTATGGGGATCTGTGGCTAGGTGAGGTCGTGCGGCCGACGTCGTATTTTTTTTTTGTAGTCTCTGTTTCAAGCATTGAGGAGGGCGTATGCTGGGCGTTGGGCGCACACTTTAAATTTGTTTGCATTAAATACATATGTACATGTGTTCATACACTCACACACACATATATATAATAATGTAAGAGTGTGTAAGTACATGCGTTTGTGTGTGCACGAAAAAACCGTGTAAAAATAGGCAAAAAATTGCAGCAAATTAAAATTTTTTTATTTTATTGAACGCGTTTCTGCCGGAGCAGCAATCGTTGCATTTGCCGCTTTAAAGCAGTTTGTTATTTCAATATGTACATACAATATTTTACACTTTTTATTTGTAATTCGCGGTTGTTTTGCTTTTGTTTTTGTTTTGTTGTTGTGTTTTTGTTGTTTACTTTGTCAGCGTTCTTCGTTTGCTTTTGTTTTGTTTTGGTTTGCGTTATTGAGTGTGATAAATTTTGCTGTACGCTCGGCCCAGGCGAGCAAGCGTTCCAGGTATTGGCCAAGTATTGTTGTTTTTCATCTACCCAGCTAAATAGTTGAATAACAAATGTAGAAGTGATTAATAAAGAGCAATAAAAAGCAACAGCGTACAAAACGACAGCAGTGCAAACACACGCACACATGTATACAAAAACAAAAACAAGGCACCGACGCGCTCTCTCTTCATCTCTCTCTCTCCGAATCGCTCTCCCAGCTCTTGCGCTCTTGCGGTTTCGCACTGTCAACAGAAGCAAAAACCGATCTCGTTTACATTGGCTGCGTTCAGCATGATATTCTGTTGAGCGTTTACAGTGATTGATTTATTTTTAGCTATAGTCATTAAATTTCAGACTTATGGTAATAGTTAATAAGATTTGTTACCTAAATATAGATATGTATATATTTTCTGGGTAATTAGCACTCGCTTTGGTTTTATTGTGCTCCATATTCCCTCACTAGAAATTCACTTGCATATTACAAATACTCTGCTGAACGCGGCTACTCATAAAAATCCAATAAAAACAGAGAAGCTATGAAAATCCGCTTGAAATTATTTGGTAGTTGCTGTTCTTTGTATTTGGCGACGTGTTGCCTCAATTAGTGCGCATTTCGCATGTGAGTGAGCCGCATGCAACAACAAAACACAATGTTCTGTTGGTCCTATGCATGTGTGTGAGTGAGTGTATGCCGGTGGATCATGAGAGGGTAGGCAATGACTGGGGAAGAGAGGTCACACTGTGCGTTGTGTTAGAACAAGCAAAAATGAAATACATACAAACATACATATCCACTTTTATATGTACATAGGTATGTATGTATATATGTATGTATGTATTTACGCATATAGACAACTATTTTTCAGTGTTTTTTGTTTTGTATTTAAAGACAAGTTTGTTGTGCGTACATACATATATGCAAATACCTATTACATATATACATACATGTGTATGTATGTGCATACATATGTAAATGTAAGGCCATCTAGTTTTGGGGAGCGACTGCAATGAAAAATTGTAAGCAGCAGCTGCAGCAGCGATAACCCCATAAGATGTTATAGATCTATTGTGAATATTGTCATGTACACCTACATAAATACATACTTATGTATATAGGCTGTAGGCCAGGAACACAATATTACATTTTTCTTTATATAGAAATCGCTTTCCCAAACATAATTTTCACTTTGTTGTTCCCTAACGAAGCACATATTATTTATAAGTTCAATAAAGGTTCCACCTGAAATGTAAATATGAAAAATTCATATCAGGCTTAGGAGCAGCGGCGGGGTTTTCTCATTTACATACATACATTTACGAAATAAACGAAATAGTTTGCTTATCACAAATTTGTAATGGAGAACAAAACACACACAAAAAAAAATAAAGAAACGGAATCGAGTAAACAAATCGCGATCACTCACATACTTATGATAATTTGCTGAAGGTTAAATTGTTAATAACAAATTGATGGCGTCGTTTGTTTGGCTTACCTGCTATTGGAAACTGGAGTGCGAACACTTTTAGCCCGGTCTGATCTCATAATTGTTGCTAAACGGCGATAACAACAAATCCACACAGTCATTTATATTCAATTATTTCGGCAAACTTTTCACGCCGCGCCTCTTATTATTTTGAAATGCGCGCGCAACGCACGTGCTGCAAACTTTGCGTGATGCGGTGTTTGACATGCATAACGATAGATGGCGCCAACTGCATGGCTGAAATGCTTACGCTTACCTTCCAAAAGGTGGCGCGCTGGACTCACTCGGGGGATCCACAAATACACAAATATTATTCAAACTAAAGTTTCAGGGGAACTAAAACAAGCATACAAACATGATTAAAGCTTAAGTTACAAAGTGAACTAAAATTCCAGTTAATATTTTGCCAGCTTTGGAAGTTTTTGTTTGATGAAAAAATTATGAGTTAAAAATGAGTCATTTTTAGAATATCTCGCAAGAAATGCCGAGAAAATTGTTTCGTAAAGCTCAATGCAACTTATAAAAAAGATTTTGCTAAGACATAAATTGGAGCTACTAATAAATTGTGGCCTAGAGTTGCCAGATCTAGTGATAAACAGTGTTGTGGAATGTGATAATACGCTGGCACTTTTCAACATCTTTGCTTATTTGAGTTTTATTTATTCATTTTTGTTTTCTCGCTGTGTTGTAAATATACAATTGGGTACATTCAAACATGCATTCAATTTACAAAGTTTTTGAGTTTAAACGTTATTTAAATTTTATGAATTTAAATTCATTGATAATATGCGTATTTTCATGTTAGGTTTTACAATTACAATACAAAAAAAAAAACAACAACAATTATCTATATTTATATCATATTTTATATATGTAAGTAGCATATTTTTGTTGATTTTCATTTAATGTTTGTTGTTTACTTTTCTTTGATATTCGTATATTAACTATGTAAGCTTGATTTACGTATAAAATGTTTGGATGCTTTATGCTTTACGGGCATTTATATGTAAGTTTTGTAATGTGGCTGAGCTCGAGTAAGTTTTTACTCGATTTGCTATTATAATTCATATGTATTCATATTTATATATGTACGAGTAATTTTTATACTTTATTTATTTCTTTAATTTGTTTTTTAACTTTTATGTGGCGCTTGCAGAAAAATGTAGCTGAACGCACGGCAAATTCAAAGTTTGAAATAATTAATTTTCAAAATACTTTTTGTTAGCAAAGTATTGAGAATTGATGATTATTTCATGAACTGCACGAGTGCTAAAAACACAACAACTTCATGTGTATACCATTAAACGTGTTGCCAGATTGCCCAAAAGAAATTGAAAAAGCAGAATCCATATGGAAAAGATTTCAAGAAATCGTGAGGTGCATCGCATAAAAGTAGTATTCAAATGTTTATAGCGCGAAACAGTTTTAACTTTTATGCTACATCGAAAGCTTAAAATAATATTTTTCACTGTATATTTCCGATATTTCCACAAATTCAGCTGAATTGAGCTTGAGTCAAGTACAGCAAAGCTATGCCATAAATATTTGTTCAAGCACTAGCGGGAATTTATGAAATACTCCGGCGTTGCCAACTCAATGCACACACACAGTTATTTCGTGCTACCAGATTGCTTCAAAACGAATTCGAAGTTGAAGAAGCAGAAATCTACAGCTGCTTTTAGGGAAATCGTGAAATTCATCGCATAAACGTAGTATTTCAAGTGCTTATTGTATAATAGTTTTTTTCCACTGATTTTTTTTTTTGGTTTTTTCATAAGTATTTTTTTTTTTTTTTTGTTATTCTTAAGTTTTTTTTTTCTGTTTTTACTACATTGACTAATTTCTGTAGCATGCCTTGGGGCTGTCCAACATTTAGTTATTTTGCTTACGAACTACGGAAATGTATCCTTTCGCCTCGCTCCTGCTGAAGCGCGCTCTCTCTTTCTCTTTCTGTCTCATATTTTATGTGTTCTCTTTTTCTTTTTCTACTTTCTTTTTGTTTTTTATATACAATGATAGTCAAACTTAGGGCTAGGCTTTTGGTTTCTGGTTTTTATCCGGGCATTGCCCACAAAAAAAAATTTTACACATTAAACTGACTGTGGACTAATTCTAAGTGACCTACGACCTAATAATGTCCTGCTGCTCAGCTCTAGACGCGTTCCACGTGCGTGTCCGTGTGCACGGCCTGCAGCTCGAGCTCCGTCTCCTCGGCCAGCGTGTAGACGCCGGCTTTGATCTGCGATGGGACGCCTCCGCCTCCGCCCCCGCTTCCACTCGCTGTGAGTCCTTCGAGCAGCGGACTGCTGAGCGTTGAGTAGCCCAGGGCGCTGCTCTCGCCGGCGGCTTCAGTTGGATTCGTGTTGGTCGCGGGCGTATAAACGGGCGCTGGCTGTGCCAGGCCCAGACGTGAGCCATTCGGATCCATGGTCAAAATGGGCACCAGCTCGTGGTTAACATAGTCCTTGATCACCAGCGATGTGGGCGTGTCTACAAATGGAAGACAATAAGCTATTAGCTGGCATTAGGCGAATGCAAGCCGACCGTGGCGTACCTGTCACCAGTGTCTCCTCGGTGGGATTGCGCTGATAGAGATGTCCGCGTTTCTCGTAGTGTCAGGATGCGGGCACATAGTACTGATTGCCCTCCTCGTGTGTGACATCCAACATGGAGCCGCCGGTGGCGGCAGCAGTGGCAGCGCCCGCCTTCTTGAACTCCACCACAATGCGTATGCGATGGACAATCTCCTCGTGGATAACATTGAAGCACATGGCCGTCAGGGTCATGCCGGACATAATGTACACCGAACAGAACCAGGTGGTGGCATTCGAATCGCGCCTTAGACCAGGCAGCATATCGCCAAATCCAATGGTCGAGAGGCTCATGAAGCAGAAATAGATGCCATCGATAATTGGCCAATTCTCCAGGCGATACAGAACCGCTGCCCCAAAGACTATGTAGATGATCATCATGGAGAAGCAGAGCAGAATGGGCGCCAATATGCTCAGGCCGTGCATGGAGCCACGCGACTCGCTGGCGCTCAGCGAATCAATGTCCGCGCCAGATACACCGCCCGACGGCGGTGCCGGCGGCATGCCCAGGCCGGGTACGCCAGTGGTTGCGCCAGTGCCTCCGACCCCGGCAGCGCCGGATCCTCCAACTCCGCCGCCAGCTCCACCAGCTACGCCGCCAGCTTGCTTCTCGGGCGTGGCATGATACACATCGCGCACATAGTAGGGCTCCTGCATGACCGCCTGCTGCTTGCGCAGCTCCTCCTGCTGCCGCTTCCGCTTCATGCGTCGCTCCTTCTCCGCCATCCGCTTCTCGTCGTAGCAGCAGTAGCCGCAGTTGGAGCACAGGCAGCAGCACAGCGCCTTCGAGAACACCTCGCGTGCCACTTTGGCCAGAATGCTGCCTGTGCTGCTAAGGTAGACCAGCGTTAGGGGTATTCCAAAGAAGGCATAGGCCAGGGTTACGATTCTTCCAAGCGCAGTACGGGGTGCGATGTTGCCATAGCCTGTGTAAAAAATATAGATTAATTAAGAATGTAATATACAAAGAGAGAGAGAGAGAGAGAGAGAGGAACTCAGAAAGAGAGTGACACTGAGATAGAGCGACGCGAAGAGAGAGTAACTTATAACTGGATTATTTTTATATTTTTCTTTTATTTATACTTTTCAGAGGCCATATACATATGTGTGTGTATATAATGTAAGTCTAAAAAATGGCTAAGACGTAAGCCCGAGAGTCTTAAACAAATAAAATTGGATCAAGTCAAGAAGATACCTAGGTGATATTGAATATCACAAAAAATTAAAAACTCAAACACACTGAACAACCATGAAAATCGCATAGAAAGGCTATATTCAAAATGCTTCAGGTTAGGCCAAAATATCCAGGTTACTCAGCCCGAGGGGAGTCGAGCGCCCTTGTAATGCTTTTATTTTAATAGTGATAATCTTGTTTCCAAAAAAATACAAATCAATCTCACTGAATCCCATGAAAATTGCATAGTAAGGCGATATTTAAAATGCTTTAAGTAAGATTATATTATGCAAGTCGCTCTGCCTAAAGGAGATGAGTGCCCATGTAAAGTTTTTGCTTTAATTGTGATACTTTATATCACAAAAATAATTAAATCCCATGAAAATCGCATAGAAAGGCGACTTTGAAAATGCTTTAAATAAGAATATATTATGCAATCCGCTGTACTCTGCTCTTGTAAGGCTCTTGTGTCAATAGGGGTATTTTATATCGTAAAATATATAAAATCCCACGAAAATCGTATAATAAGGCGATATTCGATACATAGGTTAGAATGTGCAGGCCGCTCTATCCGTTGGGGAGCGCATTCATCCCAAGGCCCATTCGTCGTTTACAATGCCTATTTTATCTCCCCTATTTAAAGGGAAAGCTCAAGCTGTGCTATATACATATGCAATAAAATACATCTCCAACCGCATAAGTATATATTTCTATAAGGAATATAAGGCAACATTAGCTCGCTCCGTTTATCCAAATCGATTAATATTAAATTGCGATTTCCATTATGAAAGTGCGATTTTTAAAAGATTGTATATGTAGACACAGATCAAATTTGTTCGATAACGTCCTCTACAAATTTGCCTACCTTAATCGAAAAGAAAACAAGCACTTTTAAAAATATTGAAGGTATATAAGACAGCATATTTTTTGAATGGGATTCTTATGCTCGCCATTTCTTTTTGAAGCTAAAAATTGTTAAGAAAATAAAGAAATTTGGAATTGTGAAAAAGCGATCTCTGTGCAGAAATGATCGATAGGCCTATGATCGCCTGTGCCATCGATGGTTTTCGCATGAGCTGTGGTTTTCTTTATTTCCAGCAAGAGCGCAATTCCGTTTGGCATGACGGACACTAAGAACATATTATTAAGCATATATATACCCGTCGCCCAACCCCCAAACAGCACCTGGAACCTCTCCCGCCTTACAGACGCACATATTGGCAAAAATAATTAAGCGGCTGAGGTAATAAAAATGCCTAACAAGCTGTTCCAGGTAGACCGCATATGAACGTAGTTATGCACGGCTATATGTGTACTTGTATGGCCGATGGGCGTGGCACAAACAGCAGACACACACGCACGCACACACATGCCCACATGTGCGTCGTCGTCGTCGTCGTCGTCGTCGCCAGGTGTCTCATGCATAAATTGAAAATTTCTTAATTTTATTGTTGCCGCTTGATGTATTTTTATGCAGGCACCGTGGGCGTTACGCTGCCAAGAGGGCGTGGTTTATTGCCGTGACAGGCATGTTTGTTATCCTCTCTCTCGCTCTTTGTTGCTTTTTATGATTGCGGCCTGTGTTGCCTACTTGCGGGCGCCGGACATTAAATACAGCCCAGAACACTCATCACAAATAAACTGAATCAATATAAAATCAGATGAACCAAGTCGAGTACCGAGACTGGCAATAGAAATAGCACTGGCGGGCCAGGCGAAGCACCTAGACCATGGACTTTACATTGCTTAAGGGTCTCAATCACACACACAGACTAACACACGCACGCACACACATACAGCATGTAATTGCGTTGACAGCAAATTTAAATGAAATCCTCCGTCTGGCCCCAAAATCTGAGCTATAGCAAAATGTCAAATGTGTCAGCAAGCAGACGACAGCCTCAGGACCCCACTCGATGTGTCTCTCTGTGTGCGTGTGTGTGCGTGTGTGTGTTTATAGAGGGTGTTGTAGCGCTCATCTGTGTGGGTTAGCGGGGCTTGGGCGCTGACTGAGGCTAAAATATTGGCATTGACCCGAAGCCAAAGCCGTTGCTGTAAAACTCAGCTGGCGCACTGTCAATTTGTCGGCAAGTGGGGGGCTGATTGAAGCATCTACATATTTTATTGAAAGATATTGAAAGATTTCAATATTTAGACACGCACACACGCACATATTGTGAGCTGTGCGTGTGTGTCAGCGGGTTGCCCAGTTTAATGCATTATTTGGACGCCGATTTGGTCTGCTGCCATTGACTGCATGCATATCGAAATAAATTGACACGTACGTGTATTTACCCACAAATGAATATAATGCGCGTGTGCCTCTCAATCAACCAATCCATCAGTCAAAGGTCTGCCAAGCTTATTTTCAGTGCATAAGCATATATGTAAATGTTCTTTTGTCACACAATATTCAAAATTGCAATTGAACATTTTCAGTGTGAAAATTAATTGAAAACGAAGACTAGAGGCTTCTTTGCACTTGGGCGTAGGACAGCGAAAGTGGACGTGGTTTAAATATTATTGGAAGTCGAAACTTGATGATTCTCATTTAAATTTGTGTGAACTGTGCTCAGATATTTTCCATATCTCTACCCAAATTCTATCTAATAATGTTTTGGAAATGGTATAAAAAAAGTGCGGCAAATGTACATATATGTAAGCTTAAGGACTTATCGATAAATATCGATAGATAGGCGCCGCTTTCTTAGGCTGTAACTAGGGATTATATGAGCTAGAGGCACCAAAATTTGGCATATATCTCTCCAAAATCGAGCTTAATATGTATTGAAATTGGTATAATGAAAGTGGGCGAATGTATATGTTTAAGTTTAGGTATATCGATAAATATCGATAGTTAGGCGCCGCTTTTTTAGGCTTAACCTAAAGATTATAAGAGCTAGAAGCTTCAAATTTGTTATGTAGCCTCTCGTACGGCAAACACAAGCAGAACTATATATTTTTGTGAATACATTTCCTCGCTTACTTTAAAATAAGACCCAAAAATAACTTTATTTGAAAGCTTCAGTCTAGGTTTTTCAGAGAATACAACTAGAAATGACAAGTTCTTTTATTTCTAAGCCTAAAAGTTTGTGTGTAATGAAATGTTCCATTTATACAGAACAATTGAACAACATAGTCTTAGTCAAAATGTAGCTAAATTTACCATTTCGATTAGAGTTTTACTTTCACATATACGAATTTCACAACTATCGAACATTTGCTAGGGCTGCCAGCAAGTTTTAAAGTGAACTAGTTCACAGTGAAGCCGAAACTGAACCATGCTTTTGAACCAAAGTTTGTTTGCTTCAAACTAAACAACTTGTGTTTTTGGACTTAGTTCAGTTATTGATATGTTGAGTATAAGTATGTGACAGACAAAGGTTCAGGCTAGCTAAGGTTAAAACTTTTCCAACATGGCCGCGATAACTATATACATATATGAAAAAGAGTTTGTCATAGTTTAGGGATAGAGAAGATAAATAATAATATGTTCTCTGCTAGTTTGCTAAAAAGTTGTAAATAAAAATAAGCAATTCTGGGGTCTTAGCTGGTTCAGAACTACGCCCAAGTCCCAGTAAAACGTACAATTTGTTAATATGCTGATATCGATGCCTGGGTGGAGTGTGGAGTCCACATGCTAGCCATAAAGCAGGAAATGGCAACGCATAAAAGGCAATCGGCTGGGCGCATTTGCCAGCAAGAAAGAACACCCACGCCCACCGCCCGCGCAAGATGCGCAATTGATGATAGTGAGTGCTGTGAAAATGGAAAATGAAATTTAAAATTATTTTGCAACTAAATTACTTGTCTTATTGCTGTCCAGGGATTGCCGGGTCTGGCTATTTATTGCGCCAGTGCCGGAGTCGGTGGCAGAGCCCGAGAAGGAGCCAAATCGGGACAGAGGCAGCAAACCGCCTATAAATTCCCATTTATGCCCAAGACAATCATAGCGAGATGTACACGAACACACACACACACACACATGCTCGTATACATATACAAGTATGTATGTGTATGTATAAATATATAGGGATTTGGAATTGTTCCTTGGACGGAACTAGAATTGGGCGCGTGTGCAGCATTCGAACGTGTCACGATCTTGAAATAAAAAACGCTGCAGTTGGAATCTAACGACTTCCCAATACTCTGTTATATATTACAAGAAGTTGTCAGTCAATTGATCAATCAATTGACTTGACTTTGACTTTCAAACTGTAGATATGTCCTTTGCATCAGATCCTTGACTTTATCTAACTATCATATGTATTCAATAAGGGGATACGCAGTATTTTAAACTGTGTTTTTTAAACTTGAATTTTTAAAAGCCGCACTCAAATTGGTGCAAAGAAACTTAAAATTTAAAAAGATGTAAATTATATTCATGAAAATATTAAAAAAGGAATACGTTAAAATACAGCATCGAGAAATATTCGCATATTAGCATCAATTTGAACGGTTTGGTTGCTTTGAGAGCAGATTATATATTCATGATGTTTGTTTTTACATTTTTATTTAACAAGAATATAAATATTGCATGAAAGATAGAAGATAATAGACAATAAAATATGTAAAGAGTTGTGTGTGTATAATAAGGCATCGAATAATTGAGCATTTAGCTATGAGGAATGTAAATTTTCTTTTGAAAATTAAATGAAAAAACGTTGCATAAGATGTTTCAGCTAAGTAGGTAAAATATTTATCAATCATATTTTACAGAAATACGTATGAGGTTTACTATATTTAAGAGCAGACGTCGATATAATATCTTGAGCTCTATTGTAATTGTAATGCAAAGTTCAATTGAGAATTGAGTGAATTGTGAATCGAATGTGTCGATAGCTTAACTATTTTAATATTTTATATGTATGTATATTTTATTTATTTTAATTTTTTAATATTCCAAATATGTCGAAAGGTGAACTATTATTTTTTTTATTATATATTTAATATATATGTATATCTTTTATTAGGTTTTTGTTTTTTTAATATTGTAAATTAAAAAAAAAAACGTGTTCAAAAATTGAAATCCCAAAAATGGGGCGACCATCTCTAGGCGGAACTGTGCCTGGGACACTGCAGTCCTGGCTAGTGGCTTAGTTGGGGGCTGGCCAATAATAATAATCATATTGTTGGGTGCTCGCATACACAGTTTTTGTAGGCGTTCGTCCAAGAACAATGTGGGCAGCCAGCGCTAGGGCCAGCGTGTCCATTGGCTGCCGCAAAACAATAATAATAATAATAATAATAATAATAAGCCGGCTACCAAGCAGGAAGTCATGTTAATACAAATGTCCCAGCAGCCTGCTGACTAACACAATTGCAAACTGACAATGCGACCCGAAAAGGCCCTATATGCTGCACCACCCCCTCTCCCCCCTCTACCCCCTCCTCCCTTTACCAACGCACAATGTTGAGTATTTTATGCAGTGGGCGGCATTGGGGGCATGGGAATTGGGTCTGGGATTCGCATTGGGATTGGGATTGGGATTGGTCGGGCGCTTATGGGCTATTTGGTGGGTTGGGCAGGGCGTATTTGCTTGACGGCCCCTTTGCATGAACTGCCAAGATCAGCAGAAAATTTTTGCAAATTTTATTTTATAGCATTTTCACAAGTGGAAAGTCGTGTCTATGCCTCTCATGCCAGCTCAAGCTCTCTCTCTGTGTGTGTGTGTGTGTGTGCGTCTGTGTTTTGGCCATTCGGGCTAAGCAAATAGCTTCGTTTGTTGTTTTGCTCTATCAATATTTGACTTTCGGCTTGTTTTTTGTGGGTGAACCTACAAAATTACCAGGCAACAAAAACAAAAAATACAAAAATAACCAAAAAAAAAAAAAAGGAAAAGAAAAGAAAAGCGCAAACGGCAGCACTTGACAGCCCATGGGAATACTGACAACTGCAAAATTCTGGCAGTACAGGCTGCTTACATATTTGCCCCGCACACACACACACACGCACACACATTTTAAATTGAGGTGCGTGTGTTTGTGGGCGTGTGTGGAAGCGCCTTGACAATGCCAATTGAAAGATATTCTTCTCACATGAGCACACAAATGACAGATGAGCATCTCTGATAAGTCACATACATATAACAGGATTTGTCGAAATTGTTCAGATTTCAAAGTTTTTACAGCCATGCGGGGCAATTGGACACACACACACACACACACACACACACACGTATGAGCGTGAAAACATATTGCCCATTATCAAATTTTCAATTTTTCAATCGAAACAAAGACAATGGGTCAATTGACTTGGCATAAAATAACATCTCTAGTGGATAATCGTCTTTAAGCTGTTGTTAATTATTGGACACCATGGTTTAAGTTTGGGGAATTTAAGTTGGCTTACTATGCCACATTATTATATATTAATCATATGTATGCCAAATTTATTTCGTTGAGTATCGAATGTGTAGCTAAGCAAACAGAATGTAACTTGTGTATTTGTCTTCACTTTATTCACTCTGTTGTGTTCATTTATATTGTTCGTAATAAGCCTGCATAAATAAATAGACCCTTGCGACTTGTATTCGAGCTAACTCTCTCTTTCTCTTTCTCTCTCTCTCTCCCTTTCTCTCTTTGTCTGTCTTTGTATCTACCTCTCTAGCTGGCCAACGAATTTATTTCTTGAGCCTAAGTCTCGAGTATTGCTTCTGCTTCATTTCTCGTGCCAATTCAGACACCGAAAATCATTGCTACAAAATTATTCTGCGTCCCTTTGTTTCTCTTTCTTTTCCTTTCCTAATGTTCTTTTTTTTTTTTTCGTGCTTAGTTTTTCGATTTTTCTTCACGCTGAGCTTTTCACTTAGCTTCTCGCTACGCTTTTAGCTTAATTTTTTGCTACTCTTTTAGCTACGCTATTTGCTACGATATGCTTCTCGCTACACTTCTTGCCATGCTTCTCATTCGACTTCTCACTCAGCCTCTCGCTTTGTTTGTCGCTTCGTTTCTTGCTACGTTTTTCGGTATGCTTCGCGATACACTCCTTGCTACGCTTCTCACTCAACTACTCTTTTCGCTTCTCACTCAATTTCTCGCTACGCTCCTTGCCTTACTTTTCCCTAACCTTAATGCGTAGCTGCTCGCCTAATCTACGCTTCTCGCCCAGACCTTCGCTTAAGTTGTCGGTACGCTTTTCTGCTTCTCACTTAGTTACTTTCTATGTTTCCCGACAGCCTTTTCGCTACCCTTTTTCTGTATGCTGAACTTCTCCCATAACTTCTCTGTCTTCTCGCTTAACCGACGCTACTCGTTTAACTTTTCGCTTACGGCTTAGCTTCTTGCCTAGCTTCTTATTCTGCATCTCGTTAAGCTATTTACTTAGCTTGCCGCTACACTTCTCACTTTGTCTATCGCAACACTTCTCGCCTTGTTTTAGCTAGCGTTTTAGCTAAATTTTTGGCTACTTTTCTCGTTATGCCTTTTGCTATTCTCTCGATACACATTTCGTTATGCTATTGGCTTTGCTTCTCGTTAACCTTCTTGTTTAGCTTCGCGCTATCTTTCTTGCTATGCTTCTCGCTACTTTTCAAGCTTGGTTTCTCGCTTAACTCTCGCTAATCTTGCTTAGCTTCTCCCTTCCCTTCTCGTTAGGGTTTATGCAAAATTTCTCGTTAAGCTTTCTTCTTTCGCTGAGCTGCGCTTCTTTAGCCACGCCTTATTTGCTTCGTTACGTTCTTATACGCCTTTCTTAATACGTCTTGATGTACTTTTCGCAACGGTTCTCGCTGTGCTTTGCGCTACGCGCCCTTCACTATGCTACCTCAACTTTTTTTGCTTTGCTTTTTCATTTGGCTAATTGAACTTGAGTGTCAAAGCGCAAGAGTTCATTACGCCTGCTCATCGATCATTTAGTGAAGCTGGTTTTGTGGTGGAGTCAAAAGGTGAATGGGTCGTAGACCCTATTGCGGCCCTATCTAAAATCGAGTGCACGAAGTTCATTTGATGCTCGCCACTGAAGTAAAGCAAATTTCCGTTTGGTGGAATATAAAATTTATGGCCCACAGTCATGGCAAGCCATGGCACAATGCGGCCAACTCGCACTGGCGCCCACTGTCCATGCCCCTCTCAGCATCTCTCCCACCCTGTCTAGTTTACTGTGCAGCAGTCTCTGCCTCTCTGTCTGTCACATATGTGCTAAGCACTGGTCACTGGGCACTTACCAATTGTGGTCAAAACGGTCAGCGAATACAAAAACGCTTTGGCGAAATTCCATTCATGTGGTGGTCCACCCACGCCACCGCCGGCAAGACGATGATGATGAAAGTGTGTGTGCAGAAGGACTGCTTCCGTGGCCGGATTGTTGGCTGAACCACCAGCTGAACCAGCTGAACCAGCACCACTAGCAGCACCGCCAGCAACCGAATGTCCGCCAGCCACATCGTCGTGTGATAATTGCAGCATAACATCCTCGTTCAGTCTCTTGATTAATTGGTCTTGAAACTTGGCAATTTCAAGTGCGGCTAATCTGTGAGTGTGTGGAATAAGTGAGAAGTTAGATAAGTTTAGGTGCGACAGAGAGATGAAGATAGAGAGGTAGGTAGAGAGGGGGGAGCGTGCTGCCTTACTTTGTCCAGTTCTCCTTGTAGAGTATGTTTAGGGACACGGTTATGTCCCAGATATTCTCAATGGTGCGCTGTCGTACATCATAAGTATCCGGCGATAAGGCAAACTGTGTCTGCCCCGCTTCCATGTCGGAGTCATCCAATCCATAAACAAAGTCATTCGATGCCTGCCCATAGACGCTACGCTCATGGCCCAGATCCTGGCCCTGGGCAATTGCAGCGGCCATCGTGTCATTGTCCGTGTGAGGTCCTTGCTGTTGCCCTTGCTGCTGCCGCTGCTGTTGTGGCTGCGTCTGTGGCGACCTTTGCTGTTGATAGATGCCATTGCCGTTCCCATTGGTGTTGCTGTGGCTATTGCCGGCCATGTTGCGCTTGGTGGATGCCAGCGTATGCTGTTGATGCAGCAGCGCCGAGTCCTCATTCTCGATGGTTAGGAATATGAAGGAGCCTGCAAACACAAGCAACAAAGTACAACAAACAGCATTAGACTCATGAGACTTGACACACACACACAACAACAACACAACAATGCCAAAGTGTTGGCCTCCAAATAAGCGACGGCAACTCATTTGTTTTGTCAGAGCGCTCCAACGGATCGCTTGGGGTCAGTTGGGGCCTTTGGTTTAGTCAATAGCCCACCAAACTGGCCAAGAGTCATGCACAGCAATCATCAGCTCTTAAATAGGCCAATTTTATGTCTAGCTCCGCACTGCAGTTGTGTTTCATTTTTTATTTTGCCCTTTACCCATTCAATCTATTCGTTGAGGGACTTTGTGTTGAATATCTTGGTAAACTTTATTTATATGCTTGAATGTGCTCAAATCAATAGAAGTCAGTCTAGTATAAGTGCTAATATCAGTGCTGTCTAGTTTTTTAACAAGTTTTAGTTAACATTAATTGCTTTTACTAAGATTTTCCTACTCGTAGTACATATAATGCAAACTTAGAACTTTATAACTCACTTTTCCCGAACTTAGGAGACCTACTTCGAGTCCCTTTTCCCCTGAAAGAAGTCGAGTACTTCGCAATCGCTAAGACACGTCTCTATTGATTTTTCACGTAGATATTTAAAAATGAGCTTAAAGCTAATTGGATGAAATCAAAAAAGTTTTATAAATCTATTGTCTACAAAATTTGTACTCAACCTGAACAATCCAATTTATAGTTTAAAAAACGCACACAGATATTTGGAGGACCTTGGCTCTTTTCGCTTTTTGCTTTTCTTCTCACTCACTTTGATGTTTTGCCCGCAGCTTTTCGCTTGCTATTTCTCTTAATTTGTTGCCTTATATTTAGCTTGGCTTCCACTGTCTTATAGATTAATTTTATGATATTTTTTCGCGTATTTTGGTTCACCCTAAACTTCTCGCTTAGCTTCTCACTTCTGCTTTGGCTTTTTGCTTACTTTTTCCGTATTTAAATGCGGCTCTTGCTTGACTTCAGTTCTTTCTGATAGCTTTAACTATGAAATTGATTAAAAATCGACAACAAATTCTTTACCGAATTAAACTAAAATTGTTATAACACAAACATTTTTAAGGCTTCTCATAGGCCACTGTGGTTAAAGGGCAAGCCTTGAGGAATGCGGGTCCATAAGGACAATGGGTCACATTCAGTTCGTTGACATGATGTATGTTAAGCCTGTGTATGTTCCGTGTAAATTCCTAAGCTGAAACCTTGTCAGTCATTTAATGTCCATGCTGATCAACTAATGCAAACACACACATATACACACATAGGCAAACATGTGTCGCTGAAGCGGCATTTGTCAAGTTTGTGGAAAAGTTTTTCTGTAACATTTGCCGTAACTTTAACAAATTTTGTTCTTTTTGGGCTGCAAATCATATTATGGGGCATGATGAGTCGATGTCGTCGGCAAAAGCCAACACATGTCAAAGTTAAAAATAATACATATATGAGCGTGTGGGAAGGGGAAGACTGTGAATTGCTGGCTGTCCGGCAGCATAGAGAAGCGCGGCAGCAGCAATTGTTGCTGCTGTTGTTGTTGGGCTTGGCCAACTTGAAACTTTTGTTGAAGCGTTAAAATGCACGCAAAATGGAGTACATACATACACATGCATACATACATACATACTATATGCATAAGCGCACAAGCACAAAAGAGCAGACACACACACGCACTGGGGAGCTGTCATGGGCGTGCGCTGACGTCACAAACTCACGCACCGGGGCCTAGAGAAAGTTAAATAATTGTTTGTGTCATTTGATGATTTCCTTTAACAAGGCAACACGGCTAACTTTTTGCGCAGCTGTCACATACAGCCGCACACACGCGCACGCACAACAAACAAACACACACACACGACACACATACGTGCTGGAGATGAGCCAAAAAGAGAATTGAGACAGTGTTGTTTATAAATATACAAGGAAAATTGAACAGACTGAACAGCTTTACAAATATTTCAATTAAGTATAGAAGTTTTCAATACCAACTGTAGCTTTAGTTTCTTTTATAATATTCTACTCTTTGCTCTATATTTATGCTTAAGGAGCATCTGCTCAATTGGACAAGAAAATTAGTTACAATGGTATTTTCCCAAACTCTAGTTATTTATATTTTGAGTATGCTTTAAGTGGTATTTCATATTCGTATTTGAAATACTACCACATGTGAATAAAAAGCAGGGTGGCAACACTTGTATAATACTTTGCGTGACTGATGATCAATCGTCTGCTAAGTTTGAACAGGTTTCAGTTTTTGATGATGCTAAAAACTTAAGATAAGTTTGGAAATTAAGAAATTATGGTTTAAAACGGGTTCGAAGCGAAAACCTAAACTTAAAAACCGATCAAACCGAAAATCAAAGCGAACCGTGTTCTTTTTGTTCTTAAACAGTTTTTGTACGAAAAAAACATTTTAGGAAGTACTAGACCATAAATATCTTACGCCTCAACCATTGCACTTATCGAACCATATTTGATAGGTTCAAATTTTGGGTAGAGATCAAATCTAGCCAGAATCTTGCATATGGAAATAGATGTATACGACATCACATATTTTCGGTACAGCTTTTAATCGAAAATTTAATTGTTGGATTACAATTTTGAAAATACCTGACAAATGAAGTCTTACACAAGAACCTGACTTCTAAGAAGAGGATTTTTCTCTTCAGAAGCCGAATTGGTTCGAACCGTGAACTGAGCCAGCGATAATTTCGTTATGCAGCCCTGTACCAAATGTTGTGATTCCTTACCCGTGACAAGTAACACTTTCAGGTGGCATCTCTAATGCGTAAACGCTTCGATTTGTTTAAAGTATTTTGATGTGGCGCATGTGTTGCCTGCCTTTTGCATGCTGCCTGTTTTGTCACTTTGTCTCGCAGCCTGTCACTTCCGTGGCCGTTATGTTCGCGCAGCCGTCTTTGGTTTCTAATACGACTACATCATGGCTGGCAAACATGACAGAGACGACAGCAAGTAGATGATGCCGCACAGTTGCCAGCCGGATAAGTTTCGGCCGTGTGGCAAGCCTCGCGGCCGACGCCATTTTGGTGTTTTGTTTCATTCACATGCGGCTGGCAAAATGATTAATTAAATTTATCATCACATATTTGTTGTTGCTATTGTTGTTGTTGTTAATTTAAACGTCGAAATTGTGACAGGATACATTAGGTATCTGTAGTTACAACTGTTTCGATACGAGTTGTATCTGTAGCTGACACACAGCAGCCGCAAAAAGTCAGCGGCCCGCAGCCAGGGCAAAACAGCTAACTAAATGCTCAAAGGGAGAAATGACGGAAAATGCTGCGTTAATTAGTCAACATAAGGGAAACCCAAAGACACAGAAGAAAAACTAAATAAATAAATGAAATCTAACAAGCATAGCTATTGGCGGCACGTCGATGCCTAAATACCCTTGCGGCTTAGATTCCTTTTATACGAAATCTTTATTTTACTCAATTGCTCCCATAGGCGGCTAAATAAAATGATAATATTTAAGAAAATATAAAGGTTGTTCATGTATGAAATTCGACCGGTTGCTCCTATCGAAGCTATGGGATTTTGTATTCCGATTTCGACACATGTTCTGCTTTCAATGCTTCATAAAGATAATATTAAGACTTAGTGACCAGTTAGCATAGAAACAGGCAAACGTATAGACGGACATGGTTGTATCGACTTGAATGTTCATACTGATCAATATTATATACACTTTATCGGGTCGCAGTTGTCTTCTTCTATGCGTTGCACATTTCGTGACAAATTTGGAATACTCTGTTGAAGGATATAAAAACAACAATGTTTGTACAACTGATAGTTGCTATGTGCTAACAATTAATCAAGCTAAGCTCCACAGAAGCCGTCCAATTTTAATGAGCACATCCACTCTAGATTCGAAACGCCAGAGACACATTGCGACTGAGCTGAACTCATTAAAATTGTCTTAATTACGCTTTTGCCGTAATGCTTAATCAAAAATTATTTATATTAAAATCTCTCTTAATATCCGTTCAAGGAATCTATTTTACTATTTAAAAACCAAAACATTTTATTATTTTTTGGCTACTTTTAGGAATTGTGAAACGTTTCTCAATAACGATAAACCATTTTTTAGCTAAGCGGCTCACAGCTGGAAATTTGTTTTTTGTGAGTGCTAAAACAGGCATGGAATTTGGGGGGAAATGTGAAAATGAAAGGAATATATGTAGGTGGAAATGTGAAAGTCAAGGTACGACGTGTTGCGTTGTTTTTTTTTTCGAAATCAAATGCGGGTACGAAAAGGTTAAGCGGCGAGAGTTTTTCAAAATCGTTTTTCATCAGTTTTGTATAGCCAGTTTTTCACCTGCATAAACGGAAAATGAGTGGAATGTTGTATATGAACACTTACCCAGCAATGTGTAGGCCAAAAGGAGCATGCAAATGCCCAGATTTGTGAGGAGGGCAGACCAAACAGTTTGGGCCGTTTGTTTGCGTTTCTTGGACTTGGAGCCGTAGCCGTGTGGCGTTTTGGCCTCCGATGCACTCGGCCCGGACCCAAAGCAGGCGCACCAGCCCTGCCGCCGCTGGCGCTGCTGCTGCTGCTGTGACTGCGCTGTGGGCACGCTCGATGGCGGCTCCTTGCGTGTGGGTGCCGCATTGGCGACCAGTTGAAGCGGCAGCAGCTTGGCGTTGCTCTTCAGTGTGCCGCAGTTGCTGTTAATGGAGCTGCTGGCGCTGCTGGCCAGGGCTGGAGCTGGCGGCGGCAACAGTTCGCTGACGTAGCCAATGCTCGATGCTGTTGGGTATTTTAGTATGCCGGTTGGCTGCGACTGCGGCGGCGCCGGCGGCTGCTGCTGTGTAGCTACTTCAATGTCCTCCAGCGTTGGCATTGGCAGCAGCTGTGTCGGCAGCTGGGTTGGCGTCGTCAGCGACATGGACATCGACATGGGCAGCAGCGTCGACGGCGGCGGTGTGGTTGTCGTTGTCGGATTCGTCATTGGGATCAGAGGGGAGGGCGCGGGCGTCGACATCGGGATCGGAATCAACGATGATGGCGAAGGCGTCGATGTTGGCATTGAAATCGGCGTTGTCTTAAACGTGCTTGTCGATGACGGCGTGGTCAACAGCAGCGGTAACGTGGGCGTACCTGCCCCACCACTGGATAAGCTGGAGAGTACGCCAAACGAACCGTAACTGCTGGTGGACGATGTCGGTATGCCGCCAAATCCCAGACTCGCGGCAGCCCCATAGCTCTCCCTGTCCCCGCTGAACTCGCCGCATGTAACTCTCTGCGAGGGAGGCGGCGGCCCAGATGGCATCTGCATTGTTTGGTCCGAATTCATTTTGCATTTGTGGTGCGGGTATTTGCTCCTGGCGTTCGGTTAGCTGTAATCAATTGTTGAAGACAAGGTGATATATATTAAATATTTTCAACAGCACGCTTAAATTATCTGAGTAAATGCAATTTCTATGAGCAAGGTTACAATGTTGTAAGATACACTATCGACATTCGACCAAAGTAAAAACAGAACGAAAGAAATAACTTTTATTTCCTAAATTCAAAAAATTTGACTCATTTTAAGAATTGTTTAAAAACGAATTACGTGTTTTTCAGGAATGCAAAATGTGCAAAATTATCTCAAGTCTAACTTAAAAGTTGATCGTTAATTTCTGGGTTAATAAAATTCGAAAATAAAGTTATTTGAAACCTAAAAACAACATGTATTTAAAATTGTAAGAGCAAAATATTTGGGTTCTATCTTGTTCAGACTTGAGTGGAAGAGAGAGCATTCCTTTGCTGCCAACCGGTTCCTTATTTACCATGAACCGAACCATAAGCCCGATTAGTTGGATAAGGAATAGACTAAACTTAGTCTGAGCCGAATCATAATATGAAATATATAATATATATATAAAATTTAAATTGAGTAATCCTACAGGAAGAAATTCGCCTATCAAAAGTTCGAACCTAAAACTGTGTTTACAAATGTGGAAAGCCAGGTTGGGGAACTGTAGCATAAGGTGGGGAACTGGTTTGAGTCGTGAACCGAACCAATGAAAAAGGGTGTGGCCATGTTTTACTGAAAATTTCATAAAAAATCGCAAGATCTGTAAATTGAATTCTTTTATAGTTGAAGTCTGACCGTCAACTTATTTGGAATTATCAAATTTGGATGAGCAAGAAGAGACCTTTCCAGTTGAATAGATTATCCAGTCATGATGCTTATCTGCTTCATCTTCTTCTATGGCATTTGCTTTTCACCCCGAACGCAAATTAAAAAGCGTTGCCACTTCAATATACCTTCAAGGTATTGTATCGCAACAGCCGCTATTATATAGGGTAACTTGTAAGCCAACATTCGCGAAAACTAAACTCTTAGTCTTATTTGTAATCAATTGGCCCCATTTCAAATGTTTATTCCATTTGAGTTTTATTGTGTTAATCTGTTGTTTCCTCTTGCTCGCACTGCTTGTTGATTTGCACTTAGTCCTATCTATGTTTCTTGCTTTCTCTCTGTCGTTTGCGAAAAGCTCGAAAAACCTCTTGAAATGAAAAGACCTTCGTGCTGTCCGAGCTGTCAGCCCTGTGGCAATATTCGCACCTGACCACGCCCCAGCAGTGTGCCCAAACATTTACCTTGCAGCTGCATGCGAAATGTGCAACACATTTGTGCACTTGAACTGAATTATTGCCGTTGTTGCAACTTGTTGTTGCAAATTGTTACTTGGCACGACCCTTGACGGCCTTTTGACCGGCTTTGCCGATGCAACAGCACCATCTGCCCCATTGTTTGGGGTGTGGCAGAGGGCTGGCTGCAGCATTTGAGGTGCGGGGGGGGGGGGGGGCCGTAGGAGGCGGCAGCTTAAAATATGCAACGCACACTTAAGCAACTCAGTGGCAGCTGCCGCTCGGAGGCGTTCTTAATTGCCAAGACTCGCACGCCCTTGCTGCCCAGCCTTCTACACACTTGCACCTGACATTTGGCTGCTTTATTTGCATTTTCGTTTGCCTTTTTATACTCTTCCAAAAGAGTATTATAATTTTGTTGCAAAATGTGTGACAACTTAAAGAAGTCTCTCACCAAACATACATATGATAAATTATAATCTTATATGATTTATCGCTCACATTGGAACAATAATTTAGGGTCTGGTTATGGTGCTTGGTTACCTTGCTGTACTTTGCTGCGTTATAATTCACAACAAGTACAAGCTTTGAGAAAATGGCAAGATGTGTGCAACTCTGGAGTTGTTAGCGAAGTCTTCTTAGGAATGAACTGGGTGTTTCTTTATATAGACATAAAGAGAAATTTCAGCATATATTTCATACACAATTTTCAGCTTAATTTTACGCTCAATGTCTTATCGAGGTCTTAAGAATTGACATCGTTGTGTGACTAACTATATGAATATATCGCAAGGCTGTTAATTCTGCAAGAGTATTTTATATTCGGCATAACAAAGACAACCGTTTTTTTGTTGCTCTTGTTTCGTTTTTGCATTTCTTTGCATTCATTTGCGCTTTTCTAGCTGGAGGCTAATCAGCATCATCGCTTTTCTCTGCTCTAATTGCCTGCCAATGGATTTTCCGAATGCGTTTTCTAATGAAAACTAAACAATTTCCACGCTCACATGCATTTCAATCAGTCGACAAACACAAACAATGCAATTGAAACGATTCGGTAACTTTTCCTTATCAGCACGGCTTAAGGACGCCGAGAGAGAAAGAGACAAAGCAAAAGGCATCTAGACAAAGAGAGAGAGAGCGAGAGAGAGAGAGAGAGAGAGCGTAAGGCAGAGCTAAAATGATGTCTATGCTGAATTGGTTCCGGGCAAAGCAATAGCTATAAGCCGCTTAGGCACCAAAGCGACCTTCGCAATCTCCTCAGCAGGCTCCGCCTCATCAATTGGTTTGCCAATTGCCAAAGCGATTAATTTCGGGTAATTACAATTTAATGAAAATCATTCAATTGTGCAAATTAATGAAAATGTCTGCACCGTTTAAGCCAAAACCATAAAGTGGCCAAACTGGCGTCTGTTGCTGAGCTTGGCGTGTGGGCGTGGCGCCTTGTTTAATGTCCCTTAATGACTCGCAGTAAGCTCGATTGAAACTCAAAGGACGTAGGCAAATCCTATCAATACCAAACACACACACGCACACAACAACTCGCACGCACGCATATAAGTACAACTTTTAGCTACGTGTGAAAAACATAAAGGACATGTCAGTCAGGTGTAACCAACTGCCAAATACTTTCTGCACAATAAACGATTAAGTTAATCGCACAGAATTTTGATTACTGGGTTCGGGACAACAAGACATTAACCACAAATCAGAGACTTTTAAAGTCTGGCTTTAGGAAATACCGATTTTTCTGTTATCGAATAGTAAATTTGATATTTATGGCTCGATATGCAGAGTAAGTCTAGGGTCAATTCTGTTACCGAGAACTGTATATGACATATACCATTTCGACATGTGAGCACCAGTCAATTCTGTTACCGAGAGTATATGACATATACCATTTCGACATGTGAGCAACAAATCAATGCCCCTTCACCTATCACTTTGTCAATAACAAAAGGATTTTCAGAATTTGCAAACAGATTTTGATTCGAGCCGGCTTGAACTCGGAAATCCAATTTACTTTTTTCCACAAGCCCAATAATACCGCTTGCCCAAAGAATCGAAACCTAAGTCGCAGCTTATGGTTTTTTGTTTACGAATCTTTTGACGTGGACTCAGCTAGAAAGCCAAAATAACTGGAGCGCATTTATCTAACCATATTTAGTATATCCAAACTTCTGCAAAAAAATCGAATTTTTGAAATATTTTCTGTAGATCGAGCCTAATTTTAATTTTAAATTGTTTCAGTAGAGCTTGGGAAATATATGATAAGCCTAGGTTTGAATCGAAACGTGGGTTCAAGGAATCAAACATTAAGCAAGGATCTGGTTAGAAAGTAAACCGAGCCACCTTTAACTTTTTTTTTTTGTAATTGCAGCCCTGCTCACAATAAATATTTCATCTACATAAAATTTTTTTCATTTAAAGTAAATGAAGCTACTTTCAAAAGCTATTGCCGTGTTATTTCCATAAGTTATTTTTATTACTCGTGTCTTTCAATTTTTTCAGGAAAAGCAGGTTCTCGAATTGTACTTTAAGCAAGAAACTGGTTCGAGCCGTGAACCGAACCGCCGATAAAATTTTGTTGGCTTGCACCCCTGCTCACAATTAAAACCTCTTTCTTCAGCATTCATCTAAAGTTCCTGTTTTTAAAGGATATGAAAATACTCTCAAAAGCTATTGCAATATTATCTAAAAGTTCCCTCCATGTGGGATGCAACCTTTTTATTATTGGCTTCTTTCTCTTTTTCTTTCTAGTTGTTTTCGCGCAGTTGTAAGTCGCCTTGACCCAAAGGAAACAGCTGGCTGGCTAGCCGTATTCAGGATTTCATATTCAGTTCCTCGTCTTTTTTGCCAGGACCAACCAATTAAGCAGTCCACAAAATACTGCAACCGGGCAACAGCAATGCCTTTTAGTTGGCTTTCATTTTACTTGAACAATTATTTTATTATACTTTTTTTTTTGGGGGGTTTTCAAGGGTCTCCGTTGCCTTAAACCAAGTGAGCTTATTGGCTCAGTCAGAGACGAGCTCCCTTCGCTCGCTTCCAACTGGCCCGTCTATCTGGTTGTCTATCTGTCTATCTATCTGTCTGTCTGTCTGTTGGCTTTCATCCATCTCAATTTACTGCGTGAGGCTTTTGTCAACGGCAAGAAAATTGCTGTCAAAATTGCAATTCCAAAGAGGGGCAAGGAAAAAAAATATATAAGCCGTCTCGTCTGGCCAGCAATGGGCCAAAACTAACTGGTAGCGTAATGGTTAACTGGGTCTGTAAGCGGGCCTGTAACCGGCTTTGTAACTGTATCTGCTGTTGACCCAAAATAACAAAAAACAAAGATAAAAAAGATGCACCGAATACTAAATGCTCTGCCAGACACATGAAATATATGGTCTGCGATATTTTTGATCTTATCTCTAAGTATACTCGAAGCAGGTGTGTTTGATCGGAATATTTTGAAATAAAAAGTTTGTTGATCGATAGTTGGCAAGGCAGATAACGTGGCTCGATCGGAAATCTTTCAACAATACAGTATTGCGAGAGTAAAAATACTTCGTGGTGTGAAAGGTGTGATAAAACTAAAATACCTTTGCACTTTGTGAGGGTATATAAAAAGTGAGCAACGATTTTATGCTGGCGGCACACAGCTGCGTCCGTGTCTCAGGACGGGTCGCACTTTTGTTGATAACCAACCAGCGGCGTCCATTGCCATGTTTCACTGCCTCTGCTGAGGGAGAGTGTGTGTGTGTGTCTGTGCGTG